AGGGTTCGGATCCCACATACAGACCAGTTCCTGCTCACTGGCTGAGCGAGGGGCGGGCACAACACCGAGGGCTGCGATCCCGTTGCCGGTCCCGGTCTGGTGCGGGCGCGACACTGAGGGTTGCGATCCGTTGCCGGTCATGAAAAAAGACAAAAAAAAAAAAAAAATAGAGTGTCAGAAAGTGAAAGGTGCTAAAAAAGGAAAGCGAGGAAAGAAGGGGCAGAGGGTGGAGGAGATATGTGGGCAGTTTCACAAGCAGGAGGGTCTGGGGAGCCGCACTGAGAAGGTCACACTGGAGCAAAGGCCTGAAGCAGGCCAGGAGCTATGCAAGAATTGCAGGAAGAGAGTTCCAGGCAGAGAGAAGAGCCTGTGCAAAGGCCCTGAGGCAGGCGCAGCAACAGCGGGAAGAGGAGGCATGGCTGGGCCAGTGTGAGGAGTGAGGACACGGGGGGAGGGAGCGGCTGGTGGTGCTGGGCTGTGTGGCCGCGGTGAGGACTTTGGCTTTGACTCCGAGTGTGGTGGCGGCTGCTGAGCCTAGGATGGACCTGAGCTGACTGGTTTTAACAGGATCTCTGGCTACAGAAGAGGTTAGACAGAGGGAGGACAGGAGTGGAACAGGGAGACTGGCAGGAAGCTGTTACGTTGTGAATGAAAAGAAGACTTGGTACAAGTAGACATACCTAGAAATAAATGAAAGCAAAACAGCGGTTTGACTTTGTAGCTCAATAGTGTTGCCGATTTTCTCTTTCTTAAAGCTGTGGGAGGGGAAGGGGGTTAGCAAGTATCCCAGAGGCGTTTAAGGCTGACTAGAACCTGATTGAGACTTTCGTTTGCTGCAGTCAGAATAATGCAAAGAGAAGAGAAAAAGGAATTTTTTTGCCATGTGATTCAAAACCTTTAAAAAACATCATAATTAATAAAAAAATCTTTTACTTGGGAATAATTTCAAACTTATAGAAAAGTTGCAAAAATGGTTCAAAGAACATCTGAATAACTTTCACCCAGATTCCCTGTTGTTTTTACCCCATTTACTTCAGCATTTACTTCCCCTCGTCTCTCCCTCCTTCCCTCCCTACCCTGCCCGCCCCCCATGCCCCCCATGC